CTTAAGTGTCCTTTCATTTAATATACATTATATAATCTGCATGTTTACAGTTTGTTAAACATATATGTTGAAGATTTGAAGATCACTACAAGTGCACATTCAATACAATTAAGTGCACTTCTTTTTCAGAAGGTCAGAAATAGGAGAAAGATAACAGGAACCTAATATGATTTTAAGCTTCAGATCGATGTTGTGAGTTTGTTCTGTTGGCGATCTAAAAGTTCTACTCAGTATTTGTCACTTTGAAAGACTACACTTGAATCACTATACCTTCAATTTGGCAAAACAGTGTTTTCACCTGAATGAGATACACTAAATGCTCAACATTTTTGTTTTTGGAAGAAACAAATCCATCAAGATTTTGGCGAATGGACTTGTTTGAACTCGAAATGTCTTAATGATGGATTTGTTTCTTACAAACACAGCTTTTCACTTCACATGACATTAAGTGATGGACTGGAGAGGTGTGGGTTACTTGTGGATGATTGTAATGTTTTTAATCAGCTGTTTGGACTCTCATTCTGACGGCACCCATTCACTTCCATTGCTGAGCAAGTGACGTAATGCTATATTTCTCTATGAAGAAACAAACTCATCTACATCTTGGTAGATGAACTATTTCTTTCAAACATACTCCTCTAGTGATCAGTGTCAGTCAAGGTTTTCTGATTTCCCCGAGGCGCAGAATAGCAGCACATGACAGCGAATGTTCCAGAGGCCTCGTTTTCCATCGACGAGTCCAAAGCGTCTTCGTTTCCCGGTATCGGTGCAGTCAGGGCAGATGAGTGCATGACTGGGTAAACACTTGGGTTATAATGGCGAGTCTGAATGCGAGAGCCTGTGGATGAGTTATGGGTCCCTGCTGCCAAAAACAAGTCGTCAAGTCTGGAGTGGCCCGTCCTGGAGCTGTGTTTGCCCATCATCTCTCTTGCCTTTCACCCCCACACAAACCCACCTCGCCCTCTGATGTCTGTGTGCCTTCGTTAATGAAGAAATTCTCGTACCTGGGTGAGACATAGCTGTCAGCTGAGCTGCTCCAGCTCTCTGTCCCGGGCCGAGCAACATCCACCCAACCACCCACAGCCGTCCCAAACAAAACAGGCTTTACCACGTCTCTCAGAATAACTGATGAAACATCGCAAAGCAGATCTCTTTAATATCTCTGTCGTTCCTCCTAGACAGCAGTGAGATTAAATCGAGAGCACTCTTTTTGCTTGAGGAACTTCGGTCACACTTTAGTTTGGGGACCAGTTCTCACTATTAACTATGCCTCAGTAAACTCTTAATTTGCTGCTTATTAATAGTTAGGAAGGTAGTTGTTAAGTTTAGATGTGTTTAAGGGGTCTAAAATACGGTCACACAGAACAAGGCATTAATATGGGACTTTATAAACAGCCAATTTGCTATAATATGCATGCTATAAGCAACTTAATAGTGAGAACTGGTCCCTAAATTAAAGTGATAGCACATATTCATATAGAGACAGATTTGTCTGCGATGAAAAGATCTCAACAGAAACTCAAACCCTTCTTGTCAAATCATCAAAATAACCATTGTTAAAAATAAGAGTATTTATTACAGAAATAATATACTTTCAAATGCACACTGAACGTAATGCTTTCAGACACTTAAATGCATGTTAATGTATTAGGTATTAAATGCATATTATATAAATTATCTGAACATTATAGAGCTTTTTTGACCCACTTAGGTAGGACTTAAACACATCAAAATAAATGCACTTCTTTAAACACAACGACAGATTATAATATTAATAACCTACATTTTAAGTTGTTCATGTATTAACAACAAACACAATTTAACAATGCAATTTATAAGATTAACTTATTAATAAATGCTGTACAAATGTTGCTCATGTCAGTGTTAGTGAAGATACTTTATGCAATAGCGATTGTTAAGGAATTATTAACATTACACTCTAAAAAATGCTGGGTTAAATATAACCCAGCACATTTGACAAACCAGTTTATGGAAAAAAAAAAAGAGAATAAGAATGAAAAAGCTTTTAGGTTGCAACTGCCTAGATGTCTATAGTTCACTAAATCGTTGGTCTTCTTCTTCAAAAAAGAAAATAAATAAATAAATGGTTGTGTTAAACATCATCCAATGTTTGTCTAGCATTTTGACCGAGTGAGCTGTGAAACTGTCTACAAGAGGCAAAGTTACTAGCAAGTTTAGGGAAACATATGTGCCACTTCACGTCCAACAATCACTCGCTGGTTTGCGGGAGCTAATGCAGCTGACAGGCTGCAGGAAGATGCTCACTGACACTCTCACCATCATGAGACTCTGCTCCAAACCATTAGCAGTGATACAGAGCATGCTATCAAGCCTGGGCGAGGAATAACTCCTGCTGATGTGACTGTGAGGGCGAGCTGTTGCTGGACTCTTCACTGTTTAAAAGACATTTGAAATGAATAAAAGAACGCATTACATAGATGACAGTTTACTTTTACATAGTCATTCAGCAGCTGCTTTTATCCAAAGCGACTTACAAATGAGGACAATGGAAGCAATCAAAATCAACAAAAGAGCAATGATATGCAAGTGCTATAACAAGTCTCAGCTTAATGCAGTACACGTAGCAAGAACCCAATAGCTGGGTTTGTCCCTTTTTAACCCAGCGCTGGGTAATATTTAACCCAGCATTTTTTAGAGTGTATTGTGAAGTGTTGCCAATTATTTATTTATTTACTACAAACATTTGACAAACCAGTTTATGGAAAAAAAAAGAGAATAAGAATGAAAAAGCTTTTAGGTTGCAACTGCCTAGCCCGTTCACACCAAGCACGATAAGTTAACTATAAAGATAACGATAAAGATATAGTACCAGGGGCGTAGTCATCATTTCAGAAGTGAGGGGGACAGAAATGTTATATATATACAAAAATATTTATATAAAACATTACAATATATCATTACAATATAACATTTCTGTAATCTAACTTTTTTTATCACATAATAAGGCAGAATAGTTTTAATACTGTAATAAATGCTATGTCAGTTAGCACTGCATTGTTCATATACTTTATCTTCATGTTTCCAAACGTTTCTGTTTTCTGTGAAAACAACTGTTTTCATACAGCTATAGACGCTTTTGTCCATATTAGGAATTTCCTCGTACGACTTTCTTCGACTCCGGCTTCGAGTATGAATGAAACATACACTGCACGGAGTGTTTTCCGCTGGTGTGGACGCTAATATCGTTATCTTTATAGTTATCGTTCTTGGGGTGAACGGGGCTTTAAGAGGCCTTTTTTTGTTAATTGTATAATACATAAAAGAAAACAAATAGAATACAAAAAGAATAGAGCTAGTGTTACGTTTTTTAAATTTTTTTTAAAGAAAACAAGCAGTTAGTAAATGAATAGAGTGCAAGTCTAAAAGGGGCAAGTGTAGTTTTTTTTTTTTTAAAGAATAGAATCAGAATAGAGAGTGCTAGAGTTAGAGGGTCAAATAAAGATGGAGATGTGTTTTAGCCGATTCTTGAAGATGGCTAAGGACTCAGCTGCTCGGACTGAGTTGGGCAGGTCATTCCACCAGGAGGGAACAGTTAATGAAAAAGTCTGTGAAAGTGATTTTGTGCCTCTTTGGGATGGCACAAAAAGTTTTAAAATGAATTTTAAAATGTAATTTATTCCTGTGATCAAAGCTGAATTTTCAGCATAATTACTCCAGTCTTCAGTGTCACAAAAAAAAAAAAAAAAGTCTCCAGTGTCACATGATCCTTCAGGAATCATTCTGATATGCTGATTTGATGGTCAAAAACATTGATAACAGTTGTGTACAAAGCTTTATTTCAGCTAAAATGTTTGAACAGTAGCAGCCTAGATTCAACACACTTTAAAAAATCAGGCTTTTCTAAAGAACAATCAATATGAATAACCTAATTATTCTATGAATAATGCTAGAAAAATGTTATGAATAATTCTGTATAAGGTCACAAATGTGAATTGATCAGATTGAAATCACTCAGATTGGTGATTTGCTCTTGCTGGGGCCAAAGTGCTCCCAAATACAAATACTGTTAGTCTGGATAAAATTGCTTGTCTTCTCGGTGGTTTTAAAAAGATGGTTACAGTTGCATTATTATCTGACTGGGTTTTAATCTGTAAATTACTATTATTTTTACACCTGCAGTCCAAAAGAGTCTCTTAGGTCTTTAAAAAGGTTTCATGTAGGCTGCGTTTTTCTCCTATGCAATTCTATCATTGTTACTACAGTCCTTTTACTACAGTAAAACTGTGCTAATTTAATGTTTGTCACCACGGTTATCAAATAAAGCAAAGAAATAATTACATTTAAAACACACAGTTTGACAGAGACAACATCTCATTTATTTCACTGTAGTAACAACTGTAGTGAGCATGGTATTTAATAAAATCAATGTGTAAGGTGGGTTAAAACATGTGTTCAATGGCGCCACCTGATGGCCGGGAGAGGAACAACAATTCTCAGTTTTCACAGAAACAGCTCAATAATCATTTGCCAACACTGCCCTCTTGGGTGCTTGAGATGAATTAGACAGCCACATGACATACTGTTGACATTATATGGATTAAACTTCAAATGTTTAAACATTCAAATTCACAAAATTATAAAACAGCAGAAAAGTGTTTAACATTCAAAAAATGTTTTTTTTATTAAACCATTGATGGAAGGGTTGTGTTTCATAGGGACAGAGAGAACTTGACTAACAATTTTAGTTTGCAATTTAAGAAATGTATTGTTAAATGTGCCCCCAGCCCTCACTCCTTAACTGGTCAAGGTCAACTAGCATAAAAGCACCTGCTAAATTCATAAATGCTAAAGCAAGAAAAGCTTTCATGGGAATCATCATAATTATGCTATCAGGAGTTTTCAGTCAAATCTAAAATTCACCTATCAGAAAGTAATTACATAATCTTACACCAGGGTAATACTGGACAAAGAGTGGCACTCTAGCCAGCGACTGCCAACATAATAGTGACACAAACAGGTAGGGTTTGAAATGATTTATTAAAAAAAAAAAACCCACCAAGACATGGTATATTATAACACTTCCATCATGACAACGGTGAAATTGTTAGACAAACCGAAAACAAACTCCTCTAACTGAGGTAAGATGAGACTCGGATCACACGTTACGGTGATGATCATTCAGAGATTCACGCGGCTCTCAGCTGAACTTGGCTTTGGAGAAGTCCATCTCTGGATGCTGAGCCATGAACCTGAAACACGTCAAACACAAGGACGAACATCAGCGAATTCAGAAGAGTAGACTCCAAATTAAAGCATACAGGTCTGCACAGACCGAATACCGTTCTACACAATACCGTTAAAAACTGTGTGGACATTATGACTGTTTGATGCTTTTGAAAGACGTCTGCTGTACGGTGGCCGGGAGGGGACATGTTCGTTTCACTTAGTTTTGTCGTGGCCACCAGATCATTTTGTCGAGGTAACAACATCCTTATGTCCTCAAGCCGTGGCCTCAAGATCTTATTTCTCGTGGCCAGGAGTTTAATGCGTGTAAACACCAGTGTGACCAAAACCTGGGATTATCAGAGATGGATAAAACATTTTTATCCATCCCACAGTCTTGTAAATCCTCTTTTTATTCAATATTTGTATATTATTATTATTATATAACTGTAATATAATAATAATAATAATATATGAACTGGTTAGGGCTATATTTTTGTATTTGTTGTTATATTTGCTTATTTCCCCTTTCAATTCGTGTATCGTTTTACCTAATTAACGTTCTGTATAATTGCGCTAGTATTATTAATATGCTGCCATATATTTTGCAAATACTGTAAACTCCTGACAAATATTTTGCAAATACTGTAAACGCCTGACAAATTTTGTGCAAATACTGTAAACGCCTGACAAATATGCAGCATCTTAAGCACACAGAATAACATAAGTTGACTTTGAACGATTACGTAATTGTGGCATCCATAATTGTAATCGCGATTAGAAATTCGATTAATTGTGCAGCCCTAATTTCCAGTAAAAATTCCAGTCGTATAGAATAATCAAAGCTTTATTGGCATGTCGAGCATTTACAGTATAGGCTATTATTTACAGAACTGTTCAGAACGTTGAGTAAAATATTAATAACTCAATCTCTGATAATCGCAGGTTGCTATGGTCAATGAAGTTTTGTTTTCGCATTAAACTTGTGGGAACATGATATATCGTGACAAAACTAAGTAAACCGAAAATGTCCCCGTACTGCTGCTCACCAAAGCTGCATTTATTGATTTATTTGAATAAAAATCAGTCATACTGTGAAATAATATTACAATTTAAAAGAACTGTTTTCTATGTGAATATATAGTAAAATGTAATATAGTCACATGATTCTTCAGAAATCATCCTAATATGCTGATTTGCTGCTCAAGAAACATTTCTGATTATTATTATCAATGCTGAAAAGAGTTGTGCTGATTAATATTTTTGTGGAAACCATGATGCATTTTTTTGCAGGAATCTTTGATGAATGAACTTTTTTGCTATAGAAATCTTTTGCAACATTATAAATGTTTTATTACTTTAATGTGTGCTCACTGAATAAAAGTTATCTAGTACTTTAAGAGACAGTCATGAGGGTCTGCAGGTGTTCTCTCTACGACATCACTTCCTGTTTTTCTGGTCGCACCACATGACTGTGTGTTCTTACTTCTTCAGGATGTCCTGCTTCTTCTGCTCTTCAGAGGTGGGCAGCCCCATGGACTTCTGCCTCTGATCAAACATCATCTTCTCCACCATACCGCGCGTCTCCCCGTCCAGATCCGACAGCTGAGCGCGTTCAGTTTAAAACACGGCACGAGATGCAACAGTGTGATTAATCACCTTGGCTTGCAATAATCAAGCATGACTTAGTCTGCACAAAACTCCTGAAGTTTCATCAAGCTGTTTTGAAAGCACTGAGTAGGTAATAGTGAGCTCTTACCTTGGAGTTCTCTGGGCAGATCTTCTTGGTGTTGATTTCGGGGTCTGTGGTCACTAACCTGCTCCACCATTCCATTTTGTTTATCTGGAATAAACGTGAGCATCATCCGTCATCCGGGCAAATCACAAACTCCAATGAACTCCATCTATGCATGTTCTCTAGGGCTATCAAAAAAAATTCGAATTTCGAATATTCGTCGAATTTAAAATAAAAATCCACATTCAAATGCAAAAACATTGCATTCGAATTTTATGTATGCGTCATGCAGCGTTATCAGTGGCGCACAAGATGTTCATGATACGTTGTTCATTCAAAATATTGCAGAAAAAGAGCACATCAATGCGGAGAAGATCTTGTTTACGTCAAAACTGAAACCAAGCCCGTTCACACAGAACACATATTTATCGCATTTTCTAGAGGGACATCTATCACCGTTGCACTCATGTCTCGCACAAGAGAGCCGCATGTTTAGAAAG